CTGAGTCAGGCGTGGCGTTTCGTACCGACTTTGGTCACCAGGTCATTTTAGGACGTTTTAGGAACTTCTAAAATTTCTTTAAATATGAAATGATTCCATCCTGTTCAATAAATGATCAGTGTTTTTAATTCAGATTAATTTTCAATTGAATGTGCTTTATTGGAGGCATCCATGTTTGTCAAAGAACACTACTGCCACCTACTGGTTAGTGACGTCACGGTGCGGCATCGGCTGTTGATCAAGTCCCAGTGCTGTATCTGGTGTTTGTCACAACGCGCTATTATCCAAGTCATCTTGAAAACATTCTTCTTCCAAATGTTGGCTACATATTACGGGTTTTTTCTCTGGCCAGAAGTTCGATGGCAAATCCTTCCTCTTCAAGTTGGCGATCCAACGACGAACCCGTCCGTGGAGGATCAGGAATCAGAAAGGTGGAATAACTTTTTTTTTTCACTTTTACCCGATGTATTCCAGCATCCAGCTGCCATGCACGTGGGCATTGTCAGTTTCACTATAGCTCTGGTGAATTTCAATGGTGAAGTCCTCTGGAAATCTTCAATAATTGTTGTTGATTGCAGATGTGTCTAGTAGTTCCCATTGATTTAGCTTGGAAATCGGGGAGAATGGCGCTAGGCTTACCGCACCGTGACGTCACTGCTGGAAGATGGCAGGAGGGAGGGGCTACTATTTTTGGGCAAAAATTGCCGCTCCCAGACTCCGTGATCACAACGAAAATTATTAGATTTTACTGATTAACACTTAATTCATTAAATCACCGCAAACTTTTCCTTTAAATTCATATTAAGAAAATGTTTTCTATGCTTTCAACAATATTGTAGCCAAATTCACTCCATACATTCAACCCCCTCGGTTTTTCGGTTGGTATGTTTAGTTTTTAAATCTAACGAGAAAATAAGATTTTTCCAGGACTTCATATTTTGGCTCATTGGTCACGACTCATTAAGGGAAGTTGGTGCTGACAGGTTCACCGCTAGTTTAAAGAATAATCAGCTCTTCTCTCATTGTACATTTATATACATTTTATTTGGCCATTTAATGAAAATAACTTGATCCATCAATGAAAAACGAAGGTTTTTGGCTTCAATCTGAGACATTTAATGCTGAGAAGAAGTCACTCCTCAAATCTATCCTGATCTCTGATAATCTGAGATGGCCAGAAGTAAAAATATATATTATGTTTTTGGTTCAGTCAAAATAAAAATAAAAAATGTATACACTATATTCTTCAGTAAATCTTTTCATAGCTATATAATGAGATACTATCTCATTATATTGAGTTACTATCTCATTATAATGAGATACTATCTCATTATATTGAGTTACTATCTCATTATAATGAGATACTATCTCATTATATTGAGTTACTATCTCATTATATTGAGTTACTATCTCATTATAATGAGATACTATCTCATTATATTGAGATAGTTTTTTTTTTTTTTACAGAGTGGCGGAAACGGGCTTCCATACAACGATTGCACCAATTAGTTGCATTAGTTTTAGTATAAATAATGATGCAGTGATCATTCCTTACGGAGGATAAAAAGTGCCAAAATGAAATAAAAAATACAGCATTAAATAAATAATTAAATGTGTCAATAATTTATTAAATGTGTCATTTATTAATTAAAACCAAGTCACAAATATAAAGTGCCACAATTAAATAAATAAATACAGCGATAAACAAATGTGTAATTCATTAAATAAATAAGGAATTAAATATATAAATGTGTCATTAATTTAATAAAATATGTCTTTATTTTATTAGAAAAATATATATAATTATTTCAGTGTGCATTTATTTATTTCAGTGCATCGAAACCATTAAAAGAATCTGTCAAACTCACCCATCAAAGTTAAGGGGCGGGGTTAACTCGAATCGAGTCTCTGTAATCGATTTGCTTCACCTTAATGTGCAGGGTGACCAATCAGGTGTTAGATAACCCCGCCCCCTAACTTTGATGGGTGAGTTTGACAGATTCTTTTAATGGTTTCGATGCACTGCGACACAGGACCATGAAATAATTAAATGCACACTGAAATAATTATATATATATTTTTTAATAAAATGAAGACGTATTTTATTAAATTAATGACACATTTATATATTTAATTCCTTATTTATTTAATGAATTACACATTTAATTAATTGTTTATCGCTGTATTTATTTATTTCACTTTATATTAGTGACGTGGTTTTAATTAATGAATGACACATTTATTTATTTAATGCTGTATTTATTTATTTAATTTCGGCACTTTTTATCCTCCATAATTCCTTCCTTCCAGTGTTTTTCTGTAGGAGTTTGCCCCCTACTGGCGATAAGCTGAAATGACACCGTTGTTGTGCTCACAGGTGGGAAGAGAAACATTCAGTAGTTTACTTTTTATTAGTGTAAAGATAACAAATTACAGCTTATCTTTTCTAGATCATGTTTTGGAATAAACTCTCATCTGAGATTGAAGGAAATAAGAATTAGCTTCTAGAATAAATCCCAGTTTTATTGATATTAATTTTAGAAGGTATGTTATAAATTAAATGTTTGATTTGTAATCCTATTTTTATAATCGTATAATGCAGATTCTGACTTCAAAAAGCAAAGATGGTTAAATTTAGCTACTTAATATCTGAAAATACTTCAGATTACATGTATATAAGGCGGGATTTATTCTGTCACCTCCAAACATCATTAGATTACGTTTAATATTCAGTAGTTTAAGTTCTGATTTTGTTTTCAATTCTGAATAAAAGCAGTAATAAACTCTTAAGTTGAATAAATGGATTTTATATTTTTTATATAAAATAAAAGATGCAGAAAGTTTCTGAAAAATTTTCTTTATTTTTCATGTAAAATCTGCAGCTTTGGAAACATTCAATTGAAGGTAAACATGTTCGGAACATTATAAAATACTGACAGAGAAGGTTTTAACACCTAAGCAACTTTTAAATAAGCTAAAACACAAACATAGATTTAATAAACCCTTTTCCTCCAAAACACCAAAGCTGTAAAGTCTGTAATTTTTTTTTTTAAATCTGAACTTTAACAATTCTTTGCTGTTTGAAGAAAATTTTATTAAAAAACAACCATCTTTAAAAATATTCCCACGTTTTTCAGCTGTTTGGCCAAAGAGAAACCAGCAGTCTGCAAAAAAACAGTTCAAACCAAACTTTTCCAGAAACTTCCCTCTGAAAATACCTGAAATTGATTGAAATAAAACCAGAATACTAACGTCTCCCAAACAGAGAAAAGGAAGATTTAACTTTAATCCCAAAGAGCAGTTTAAATCTTAACAAAATAACATAAAACCTCCCAGAAAAAAATGTTTCAAGTTTATTAGGAATTTGGACACCTTTCGCTTTAAGGCTTAATTGTGCTAAACTTGTGAGATGGACAAACATCAGTGTTGTTCGATCATCTGATTATAAACTAATCCAGAAGCTTCTTATGTCTGAGATCTAAAGCAGTTTTAGTATCTCATTATATAAACACAAATAAGCTTATATTAATCATCTTGCATGAAGATCTGACGCACATTTTGATATAAAAATAGGATTAATATGGCTTTATTTTAAATATTGAGATGAATTAATTGCTCTAATTGCGTTATTTCTTCACTTTAAGATGAAGGGTCGGTTTCATGAAGCAGGTTTACTGAAAACTCTTCAGTTTTCTAAACCTGAAATCAGGGAAACTGTCCTGTCGCCGTGGCAACGTTCTCCCCAGAGCTAACCTGGTCAGCTTCAGTAAACTCGGAGCGTCCTCCATCTAGAACAAAACATTCTGGATGTTCTATATTTCAGATCTCCATATTCTTAATATTACAGGTCATTTTAATTATTTTAACTATGAAAACATTTTTTTTAAAGATATCATAAAATACATTTTCAGTCAAGTTGATAAATGTCAGAGCGGCACATTAAAATGCGAAAACATTTCTACATATAAGAAACTTCATTCTTATTAGTATAATTTTGTTTTTTGTTTTAATTTCTGAAATTCAGTTTCTGCTACAAAAATGTAATTAAGGAAATATTTTATTACAGTTCAGTCAAGGAGTGTGATTTTGATCAGGGAGAATCTGATTTTATATGATCTACAAATAGAACAACAGAAAGGAGAGTGCTTTAAATAAATGTAAAAACGGCCTGCCGTACAGCACTTTATATAAACGTAGGCATTAACTCGAGGAGCAATTCTCCTTTACCGCCTTCCTCACCGTTGTAGCTGTAGCGCTGTTTCTCTGGCTTTTTAACACAGGGCTTGGGCGTCATGACGTAATTACTTTGCGTGGCGGCCATCTTAATGGCCTCCTTTACCGCTATTCAGACTACTGCCTATGACTACCGCGTACTGTACTCCCTCTCAGCCGTGTTTTAATTTGATCAATTTCACCTTAACTTGATTTCAACCATGGTAAACCGTTGCTGTATTGTGGGCTTTAACAGCGCAACACATGATCGCCATGGGAAAAACATAGAAAATGGGTTAACTTTCCACCGCTTTCCTGCCTGGAGGCGTAACCACGGAGACCAAGCGTCAGAGATAAAGAGTCGTCGGCTAGCTTGGATCGGGGCTGTAAGACGACCGAACATAACTTTTCACAGTATCCCGATGTCAATGAGAGTGTGTTCCCTGCATTTTCATTCTGGTAAGTTAAAGATGCACGGTTTTATTTTATAGCCTACTTTGTTTCTTTCCTTCAAAGTTGGGATCTTTTACGGGAAAATAATAAAAACGGCAGCGGGAAAAGGCTCAAATACGTGAGAAACCCGGAGGGTTTAGGGAGGGTTGGCAGTTAACATTACTAACTACACCTTTGAAACACATAGCAGCTAGTTAAAAGTACATTACATGCGTGAGCGGTTAGCGGTTGCTAAACTAGCAGGTTCCAGAGCCCGTCTGATCACAGCTTACCTTTGTACGGATTACTGTGTTCCCACTGTTTGCTGGCTTTATGATCTGCAGCTCCTAAACACA